TACGTGGGCAACTGTGACGTAAGAATATTTTAATATAGCCAGGAAAAAAATACAACGTGTTTTGCAGAAGTATTTCCGACTAGAAGAAGACTCATAAATTTAGATGTTACTCATTCTGTAAAACATTTCATTTTAAAACTGTGTTAACAATGGTGTGTTGTTTGGAAGACCGTGTGCTTACGATGAATCGACTAACCTTTTCTGAAATATTACTGTAAATGATTCTGTGCGAGAAGATTCCTCCGTCAGCTAAATATTTAGCGCAAAGGATATAAAGTTAAAAATATTTATATATCATCGATAATTGCTCCTTGTAGATCCATGTTTCAAGGATTTACGCAGTAGCTTACCCAGTTACATTATAATTATGGGCCGAACTGTCTTAGCACTTGTTAAAGAAGGACAGAACACTGTCACGTTATATGTGAGTTTTCAACGATGCTTAATCAATTTCAGGAGTTACATTGTGTGGACTGTTATTATGACTGTGAATTGCAAACTTGGCGGGCAAGGAAGGACGCAGATGCCCGGTTTAACAAGGACCCAGAGCTTCTGAGGAAAGTCACAAATATATCAGCCAGGATAATTCGTTTCCAGTTCTGGATCTCAAACCCCGTACCCTCCGAATTGGAAACATAAATCAGTTAATGATCATTACAATGTCACATTAGTATCCCTTTATTCTATTGCTCTGATGATTTTGATCCCTGTGTAAGAATGTTAATGTGGAATAGCGTATTTTATGTCGTTTATCAAACCAGAGCACTCTTACGGCTTGAAATTGACGTTGAATTTCCTTGTCTGAATCGCACATTACAGATTTTAGCCCACCTGCACACATTTCTCTTGCTGTAGCTTCTAATCTGATTTACCATTCTTTATTTCCTCGATTCGAACGGAAACCATAAATACATCTGACCACTGGTCTTCTCGGGCTGTAAATCTGATAATTGTTGAACAGAATTGGACGTTTCCAAAGTCTTTTCTTGTTTGCTCATCTGATGAATTCAGTTCCCACCAGAAGCGGAAGGAGTCACCGAAACGTCGCCGTTTTAATCAGCAGGAGTGAGAAGATATACTCCTGTTGAGTGTGCATATATTTGAGGCTCTCTCAGCGGTGGAGATGTTGGTGCCAGGTTTCTAGGTTCGAGCACCGTATGGACATGTAGGTAGATACCGACGTTTCGGAGGAACGTATACTTACACCTTCAGGGCTGATGATACAGACAGAGTGTTTCTTCGAAACGTTTGTGTCTGCTCGCACACGCTGTTATCTTTAATGTGGAGCCAAGATTAACTATTCTTTATATGCATACAGCGGAATGCATTTTTAAGAGTTTTAAAATTATGGCCGGAAGAAAACAGTGCATTTGAGTTTTCACTTCCGTGCCTCATTACGCAGCAAAATCTGAGTCCAGTCTCTCTTGAGACGTGGGGGTAGAACGTATGAAGTGTTTGAAAGCATGTTATGACCAAAAATAAACGTCATAAGAAATGTAAAAATAGTATAGAAATTATTCGTGTTATTTATAAATGTAAATTGGCACCGTACTGGCTTGAACGTAAAAGGGTCGTTTTTTATTTCTACATTGTGGTTTGTTTGACGTCATTCGTAGACCAAGACCAGACCGCAGTCCGTTTCGTCCTTGTATTAAACTCTTAAACGAGAAGTCGTTGAATCCAGTTCGGAAAGTTTTTGACGATGGTGCGTAATAGTAAGTAAAACTGTTATTTCGGAAGCTGAATCTGCTTCCATGTTCAGACAAAAAATGGAGAAGAGGGCACATTCTGTCTGTTGGTCTTGGATTTGGCTGGACTTTGTCCAGGCCTGAGGCCAGCTCAATCAGGAGGCTCAGAAGACAGAATTTCGCCTTCACCACTTCCTAACCTGAAGAAGGAAGCAGATTCCGGCGATGTAGTTATCGTTTTATAATTTATACGACGGACTGAGTCCAGAACAACAATTTTACACAGTTTCACTATTTCGCAGCTTGTTTATGCCCTGCGCGAAAGATATCCACCTTAAAACACAGCAATCAATTTAATTTTGTTCTGCCTGCATATCCTTCCGCCAGTGAAGCTATAAATATAACACTTTAAGTTTTAGATGGACTACTTTATTTCTTTTTTTTTCTTTTAATTTACTGAGTAATAATAACTACGTGGAATTCTACAATGTAATAAATACCTCGAATAATACGCGATAAAGTCTGTACCGAGTTAGCTGAAAGCAAATGTTAATAACAGATCTGCTTGTCTTTAACTTCTTGTTCTACAACACGTAATTCAACATGTGGCTTCTTCAGATATGGAGGAATAAGCACTGAAAAATATATTTAAAGCTAAATTATTCTAATATTTAAAAGAATAACGTAATTAACCGTGTCGGTGTCCAGACCCTCGTTTGTAATAACATGTTATACTGAGTCAAAGCGAGTTTGACAATAAAATAGGAGTTTGCTTATAATACTTACATTCTTAGGTTTTGTTAAACAATACCCCGGCTACCGTAATAAATCTAAGGGACTTACTGTATTAGGTGTTTAAAAAAAGAATGGTGTATTTTTACCGCATTAGTAATTCCATCTTCTGGGCATCGCATGTTTCTGCGTAGGTTTCTGTATAAATCTTTCTGGAATTACGCTTTTACATAAGTATATGAATTATAGTACAAGGAAACGTTAAATTTTGTACATAAATATCTATGGTCATCTTCGTAAAGCAAATATATTCTAAGTGACAACGTTTTGTAAACATCCTGTGTTGCGTGGAATGGGGATGCGTCACGGGTCAGTATTTTGAATGTTGAACCTGAGAGGAAATTTTAAAAAAAAATTATATTCATAAATCTGTTTGAAGCACACTGCAAAATGGCGCTTGTGATTTTGTTTATTGGGCATGTACATATTGTAGGCGTTCGTTTAAGTTAAGTATGCACCCGAATCATAAAGTAAATTTGTTTTTCTCCTTTATAAAGTCCCTAAATAACTCCAGAACCACGTGAGTTACGTCAGATCAAAATCATCGATGCAGTTGCTTCCACACTTGTTTAATTTAATAACAAGATTCAAGACGCGTGTGTGAGGAAGCGGCTACATGTAGGTAGTTTACACACCTCGTATCAAATACAGACGCTAATAAACCTCGAGTTTCAGTAACAAGTTGGGAATCTATTGGCTAGCTGAGGATGTGATGGGCACGGCATGTGGCACGCATGAAATTGAGAAATGCTTACTAAATTTGGTTAGATTAGGTTTGGAGGGAAGACATTCGTGGGAAGATTTAGGCACATATTCGAGGACACTATTAAAATGAATATTAAATAGTTTTGGAGGGTATGATTTGGATTCGTCTGGCTCAGGATAGAGACCTATCTGTCTTCCGCTGTGGATACGGGGGAATTTCTTGACTAACTAAAATACTATCAGCTTTTCAAGAAAGAAGCCGGTATTCGATAAGGCCATATCAACTGTAGAGGTTACGAGTGCATTATAATTATTTATCTACAAATTTAAATGACTAATCATGTCTAATACTTTTGACTCAACTAAAATATTCCTCTTGGAAGATGTCGGTCTTCTTGGATCTTGCGTCGTTTAGTCTGGTAGAAGTTTACCGAGATTCGGATGTGCTTATTGCCTCCATCATCAGGGCGATGATAACCTGATTTCATAATTTCCTTGAAGAAAGTAGACTTGTGTACTGTTGCGTCGAAATGGTTATGGAGGCGGCAGGAAACACCTCTGAAACATCGAAGAACTTTATCCCATAATACAGTCATCTTCATGCTTGCCTCCGTGAAATTTGGCTTTTCTCTGTGAGGTTAACTGTTCATTGTCCTTCAGTACCTGCAGGACTAGACAGTAGTAAATTCTGTTTTGAAACAATCTGTATAGTGCACGCGACAGATAGAGACGTAAGGGATTGGAGAACAAGTTTAATATCACAATTAAATTAAGCCTGACTTACGACTGCGTCGAACAGGATAATTCGTTTTTGATGACAGCGAACGGAATGAAATCGTCAGAGTGGATTGTGTATTTGGCTAATGTCCTTCTGTTGTTGGTTGTCAGAAGGAGGAGCTAACTGCATGGTGCGATTTACATCGACGGTCCCGGACTGTGACGTATGACGCTGGCATCTACAAACTTAATAGAATAAATCCGCTAGGGAACGTTGATGCCTGGGGCTGGTGCAAATTAAGCCAGCATTAAATGGGATTTAACATTGATGTCACTTTTGGGTTTCGTTTAAAAGTTTTCATCCATTTTCAGAACAGCGTCTTCAATCGGATTACTAATTAAGCATCGCCGGTGTTAATGGACATAAACCGTTCAGTTCCTACTTTGTGATTGTTATAGGCGTTACAGCCCATTAGGTTGGGTTAGGTTATGTTGCGTTAAGTTAGGTTAGATTATTTTGTATAAGGTTATATTGGGTTGCGTTGGGTCAGATACTTTTAAAATTTTGATAAATTACACAAATTTTCAATAGTAGCTAAAAACTTAATAAAAATACAAATTTTCGAAAGCTTTTGGAAATAAAGTTTTCAGAATTGTGAAAAATACAAACATTTTCTAATTGGCAGAATATCTCTACAAATTCAAAATTTGAACATTTTCAAAATTCAAAAGAATTTACAAAGTTGACTAAAAATTTAAGAAACTACAAATTTTCAAAATTCTTTTAAAGCTCAAAAGACTTAGCCTTCATACGAGTCACGTCGTCAAGCCTTACGAAAGTTTACGGTAGGTTAGGATAGGTTGTGTGAGCTTATGTTGGGTTGGGCTAAAACTTCAAAATTTTGCTTGTTAGGACAAATTACAGAAATTGCAATATTGACACCATCATATTCACATCTGTTTCGTATTGTTTCGGAAATGCGGAATAATGTACTGTGGACTTCTTAATTTATCTCATTTTACTTCCCTCTTCTACTCTGGAATTGAATATAATAAAATAATGAAATAAGGATATACACAATAATTTTAATACCTGAATAAACTTTGCATAGTTTGTGATCGGAATAGATTTTATTGCGAATTACATGTTTGTAACAGCAGTCTGAAAAACAAAATAGTATTGTATGGAAATAACACTCCAATTAGATTAATCATAATACAAATTCTTTAATGTAATGTGTTCTGTGTCACTGTTCCGACATATTTAAGAAACATCATTTTATAAGTAATGTTTATTAGGGATTTTATTTAATTATTTCTAGTCTATATTTATATTTATACATGTAAATAAGATCACATATACATCAATACTATTCAGTTACGAAATACAATATGTTATCATGACCACAACTGCTTGATTTTTTACACGGAACATTGTGTCAGAGATATGTAAAGCTGTTATTGATTTTCTGTGGGGGGAAAAACAGTGAAAAATAACATAGAGGTAAACGAATCAATAAATGCAAATAACTTTAGTTCGCAAAATAAAGCCGTGTAAATTGAACGAGTTAAGAACATGCTGTAATTGATAATACATATCAGATTAAAAATATGGAGCAAGTTCGCACTTCTATAAAACCGTATGAAGAAATATTGGTTTAGATGGTTGTAAACGTTGTAAATTACATCAGTTCTATTTGACAACACCATCAAACAGCAGAGATGTATTGAAATAAACTTTATCAATCTTTCTTAAATAGAGCATAAAAAAGACGCTAGACAGCAATAACTCTTGTCAAACAGCACTCATAGGAGAGATATTATCGCCGTTTCAAACAGAAAATAGCAATTACCACTCAATTTTTATTCTTGTGTAAAAAGATACTTGCCCCCTGAATTCAGTGTGCTACCGCCTGTGGTCATCCTTTACTTCCAGTTGTTTTGCGACGGAATGCTTTCCTTCCTTCGTTCTGTTTGGGCAGGTACCAGAGACGTTAACGCTGCTATGCATCATTATTCGTCTTCCTCCTCATCTTCCTCTTCCTCTTCGTGAACCTCTTGTGCGGCACTGCCTGCTGTTGGTTCCTGTGTAGCTTCTGGTGACGAGGGTTCCTCCACCACGGGCTCGGGACCTGAATCCTCTTCCGCTCCTGGGCTCGTCACAGCTTCAACCTCTTTTTCTCCGTCTTCCTTTTCCGGTTCCTCTTCACTTTTAGGTGCAGCTTCCGATTCTTTTGTAAGTTCTGCTGCAGTTTCGTCTGAAAGGACGTCAGACGTAGCTTCAGTGGCCGACGTTACGTCAGTTTCCTTTGCGTCTCCTTCAAGTTTAGCCAGTTCTTCTTCCAGACGTTGGCGCTCAAGTTCTGCCTGGTGTTCAGCTTCAGCTTGGCGCTCTTCTTCAGCTTTGCGTTCGGCTTCCTGGCGTTCCAGCTCAGCCTGTCTCTCGGCCTCTGCCTTGCGTTCGGCTTCCTGGCGCTCAAGCTCAGCCTGTCTCTCAGCCTCTGCCTTGCGTTCGGCTTCCTGGCGCTCAAGCTCAGCCTGTCTCTCGGCCTCTGCCTTGCGTTCGGCTTCCTGGCGCTCAAGCTCAGCCTGTCTCTCAGCCTCTGCCTTGCGTTCGGCTTCCTGGCGCTCAAGCTCAGCCTGTCTCTCAGCCTCTGCCTTGCGTTCGGCTTCCTGGCGCTCAAGCTCAGCCTGTCTCTCAGCCTCTGCCTTGCGTTCGGCTTCCTGGCGCTCCAGCTCTGCCTGTCTCTCCGCCTCCTCCTCGGCTTGCCTGGCAAGTTCTGCCTTTCTCTCAAGCTCCTTTTGGCGTTCTAGAGCAGCCTCATGAGCTAGCTTCTCCTGTCTAGCAAGTTCCACTTGCCTGGCTTCCTCTTGCTGCTTTTCTAATTCTGCCTGCTCCTCTAGAGCCTTTTCCTCGGTTAATTTTGCTTCCTCCTGCCTCTTCTTTTTCCTGCGGTTAATTCTATCTTCAGAGTTGTCTTCTTTGAGTGATATCTGTCTCTCAGCTCGTACTGTGGATAAAAGTGTTTCGGTAGCCGGCTGTGAATGGCTGCGAGATGGAGGTGTCTTCCTGATTGGTGGAGAAGGAGATTCGTGGTACTGTGGAAAAGAGAAGGCGATAATTTTTACCCGTCCTGTACTTTGCTGTGCCCCAAGGAATATCAAGCGTTGTATAACTTAACTGTTTTTCTTCCCTTTTATGACATGCGTGTGTAAAAACATGCATTCCGGCCTGTGTATACGAAAGATTTGTTCTCAGACAACTTTAAGTAATTTAAGTTACTCTTGGGTTGAGTTCTTCAGATCATCAAATCCTGCACCCCATGCAAATTTCACTTCATTTCTCGAGGACCATCTCAGTTAATAATCACTTCTCATACACGCTTATGTGCCCTTATTTTTCATAGTTTTTTCAATGTATATATGTTTTCTTACCGACAGATTGTCGTCTGGAACGTAAGTGGGCCTGTAGAAGCGACTGATTGGTCTGGATCTGGGCGGTGAGGTATAAGCTGACGGGTTACGGTACCATTCTCCAGACAGTGCTGAAATTAACAACAACAGGCATGTACAGCATCGTACTAAATTTACTTCTTTAGATCTAAGGATTTATGGTAATAGTTCGGTGTTAGGATGTTCCCTGGGAATTGTTTAGTTCACAGTATGTCTGAAATATTCGGCGGCTAGTTGTGTCACTGCCTTCAATTACACGTTAACAACCTAACATTATGATACATTCATCTGGAGTTTATGAGTGTAAATATTCTTGACCAGAAAACGTGATACCCTATTTTAAATGTTAAACTCTCAGTATGATTTCTCTTGTTCACAAACATCTACGACATTCTCATTTAACCACAATCAAGACTTAGCATCTTCATGTCGTGTTTTATGCTAACCAACCATGAGTCAAATACAGTGCAAATTTCCAGAGGGAAAAAAACACTCTATAATGAGTTAGTTTTTTGACGTAGCTGTGAAGAAGACCGATAATTACAGTGCTTTTAAAATGTGTCTGAAACACACGTCAAAAAACACTGACCAGGGAGTGATTATCGTATTGGCTTGTGTTAGGCTAGAACCGGAAGTACCTTCGAGTACGGCTTAAACAGTGTTCCTGCAGTAAAACATTGTTATTCAGGATTTAAATTTCGCCTCCTCCTCGGCTTGCCTGGCAAGTTCTGCCTTTCTCTCAAGCTCCTTTTGGCGTTCTAGAGCAGCCTCATGAGCTAGCTTCTCCTGTCTAGCAAGTTCCACTTGCCTGGCTTCCTCTTGCTGCTTTTCTAATTCTGCCTGCTCCTCTAGAGCCTTTTCCTCGGTTAATTTTGCTTCCTCCTGCCTCTTCTTTTTCCTGCGGTTAATTCTATCTTCAGAGTTGTCTTCTTTGAGTGATATCTGTCTCTCAGCTCGTACTGTGGATAAAAGTGTTTCGGTAGCCGGCTGTGAATGGCTGCGAGATGGAGGTGTCTTCCTGATTGGTGGAGAAGGAGATTCGTGGTACTGTGGAAAAGAGAAGGCGATAATTTTTACCCGTCCTGTACTTTGCTGTGCCCCAAGGAATATCAAGCGTTGTATAACTTAACTGTTTTTCTTCCCTTTTATGACATGCGTGTGTAAAAACATGCATTCCGGCCTGTGTATACGAAAGATTTGTTCTCAGACAACTTTAAGTAATTTAAGTTACTCTTGGGTTGAGTTCTTCAGATCATCAAATCCTGCACCCCATGCAAATTTCACTTCATTTCTCGAGGACCATCTCAGTTAATAATCACTTCTCATACACGCTTATGTGCCCTTATTTTTCATAGTTTTTTCAATGTATATATGTTTTCTTACCGACAGATTGTCGTCTGGAACGTAAGTGGGCCTGTAGAAGCGACTGATTGGTCTGGATCTGGGCGGTGAGGTATAAGCTGACGGGTTACGGTACCATTCTCCAGACAGTGCTGAAATTAACAACAACAGGCATGTACAGCATCGTACTAAATTTACTTCTTTAGATCTAAGGATTTATGGTAATAGTTCGGTGTTAGGATGTTCCCTGGGAATTGTTTAGTTCACAGTATGTCTGAAATATTCGGCGGCTAGTTGTGTCACTGCCTTCAATTACACGTTAACAACCTAACATTATGATACATTCATCTGGAGTTTATGAGTGTAAATATTCTTGACCAGAAAACGTGATACCCTATTTTAAATGTTAAACTCTCAGTATGATTTCTCTTGTTCACAAACATCTACGACATTCTCATTTAACCACAATCAAGACTTAGCATCTTCATGTCGTGTTTTATGCTAACCAACCATGAGTCAAATACAGTGCAAATTTCCAGAGGGAAAAAACACTCTATAATGAGTTAGTTTTTTGACGTAGCTGTGAAGAAGACCGATAATTACAGTGCTTTTAAAATGTGTCTGAAACACACGTCAAAAAACACTGGCCAGGGAGTGATTATCGTATTGGCTTGTGTTAGGCTAGAACCGGAAGTACCTTCGAGTACGGCTTAAACAGTGTTCCTGCAGTAAAACATTGTTATTCAGGATTTAAATTTGCATGAAAAGGACCTTCTGTAGTTCGTAGTGTGATTTTGCACTACTCAGAACTTAAGGTCGTCAATTTTGGTTCTGTTTACTAATCAACATTAACATTCTTCGCCAAAACGATATTATGGTAAGGTTACAATGACCCAGGCCACTCACGGGAAGACAGCTTTTATATCAACATAGGCATTTACTTGCAACGAATTTTTAATTTAAAATCTTTATTTTTGTCATTCCGAAAGATATCCAGGCTGCTCTGTACACAGATAACTCGTAAATATTTATGTTTCTTGTATTGTATTTGTCGCGGATCACCGGGATGAGAGAACGCGTCCTCTTTGGACAGTGACGTCAGTCTGGAACTTCCTACCGGTGTTTCAAAGTTCATTGCACTTCGTGTTTGATTACAAAAATACGGACTTCGTTGTCCACGAGAGAAACAAACCTAATTATACTCTTCTTACCAGCTCATTTCCCCATCAGGACTCCCTGCAAGAGAATTTTCATCAGCTGGTACCAGAAAAGTGCAGATTGAGGGATCAAAGTACTACTGACAAAGCTTCTCATGCAAAGAATTTATTAGTGCTCAAACGCAGACTTAGCTATCAAGCTAGGCGTGCAGATTCATGCAACTAGATGTGATCTGTAAATTTAAAGGTGTAGTGGGACATGAATTTGATTTGTAATAGAGTATAACGAGTTACCCTTTATCGAAAAAAGTGCTGGTTGCTTAGAGATACCTAAATTGCTACTAGCTCCATTTTGCACGTTTTATGTTACAATGACAATAATTCTGTGGAACTTAATATATAACGTACTTGAAATGAAGTTTTTACAAAATACTGAAATTATTCTTTGTTGCCATCAGAATGCAGTTATGTAACTAATGCAGAAAAGCGTATGAGATGTTAAGTTCTCATGTCATTGAAGATATTGGTCTTCTGGGTTTCGACGTCAAGTGAACTTGTAGGTAGATACGAACTTTTAGGAGGAACGTACTGCCGCAATCTTCTTCCGGAGCTTTGTTATCTACCTGCAGATCCACTTGGCATCGCAACCAATAAAACACCATCGATAAAGTTTTAACATTTAAGCCATAAACGTTGTCCATTTCCTTGGAGTTGTGTGCAATTTTTGGAACTCTGTTTTTGCCTCAGTTCTCGAATTTCGGGTACTATTTACTGTTTTTACATGCCTTTCTTTACGGCCGTGCTTCACCAATAGGATGGAATGCATGGGGAATGTGATGAAGGCAGAGAATCGATAGGTATTGACCTGATATCGATTACCCTGGATTACATGACACTATGCACATATTTATACATTTTAACAGGCCTAGCTATACATGTAGATGAGTTACATAATTATTTAGATCATATGTGGCAGTGTTAACGTCGAGTTCGTGAGAACAGGAAGTTGACTTTTACTCGTACGAGTGGTAACAGTGGTATCGTGCTTTGTGAGCGTATTGCCAACCTTACAGGAAAAGTAAGAATGCTTTTTCACGAGTTAGATCCTAAATTGTATAAATATTTATATAAAGTGTGAAGATTAGTTATTAAGAGCGATAGAAAGGCATAGATGTTCATAACAGCGCATAGAGACAGAAACATAAGAATCCACAGAGCAGTATTTTATGTCGATGTTACTCCTACCAAAAAAAGTTCGGCATAACAACAGTTTGATATGGTAGTTACTCCGAAAACTGTATTTATACTTACACTAAGATCTTGCCGACCGCCAGACCACCTCCGAGCTGCTGTCAGATGATCGATTTTAAAATGAGTAAGGAACTGCTTGTTCGTGTTTGTGTGGGGGGGTGGATGTAACAGCTTTTCGGAATGCGGTTTGCTGTTCGTGACAGCACGTTTGTCGCTATTGTATGGGATGTAGTGAGTCTTTAGAGAAGGCGTATAATTAATATTGTCGTCTGTTTGCTTTAATTTTCGTTGTGTTGTTGAAACTGAATGGAGTGTTAACTAGAATACATTGTTGCATCAGACATTATGCACACCCGTTCTAAGATACATCTGAACAAGTTTGTGTGTATATCAGTGTGGTAAAATAGTATGCGCTGTGATAGTTGATTTATCGATATTTGTTCATCGATTTTGTTTTAAGACATTTTTAATTTTATAAATAGCTTGCACTTTCCAGTAAAGTAAATACGTGTTAAAACTGACTTTGGCGTCCTAAGGGATGGCATTACTTATTTTATATAAATTTGGGATACATTTTTAGGGGGAGATACGTTAGTTCCTGATTAATGAAAATCATTTCATATAATTCTTCAGATTTAGCTGCAGAATATTTTATATATAGGTCTACGCCATCTTAATGAGGACATTAAGTGTGAACATCTAAACAAAATGGCACGCCCATGCTGCATCTAACGTATAAAAACACACCTCTAGAGCTTCAGAGGCAAAAAGGAGTAAAACAAAAACCATGAGCATGCTGTGTTTAAATTTAAAATGAAATTACATATAGAGGCAAGGTGTGAGCACTGATTTTCATCTGAGGATAAACTTTCAGGACATAACATAACCTCAACTGTGTATTACAGATAATGTTACTTGAAATGAAAGTTTATCCATATTTTTCAAGAGAATACACTAACACGTAGCAAAAGTATAGCATCAATCAAGCAACATTTATTTCTAGATACAAAAATTGTATACATTAAACAGCGATGATTGTCAGACGTCATTGTCCTTCGATATTAAAGCAGGATGTGTGTACTTATTATACTGTGATTAGTTTGTATTACAAGAATTAAAATAAATATTATATATAGGAAAACATATAAAACATAAATAACTTCCTGAAAGAGTAAGAAAAAAAAGATAGTGTAACAGAAGAACAGAAAACAAAAAGTGTGTCGTGATTATGTGAAGAGGAAGGCAGAGCTGCACACACCAATGTTTTATGCTTGTTCGTCGTTGCCTGGAAGTAAAGGAACACCTCGAGTTATTCACAAAAAAACACACACATTACTAGAATCTGACTCGGGTTCTTCCACAACACCGACACTTCCATATTGCGAAATAATGAAATTCTGGCATATTTAATTTATCGAAAAGTATATTGAAATACTGGGGTACGTAAATTTTAAATTCGAAATTTGAATGTGAGATGCACCGAACTGGATACATGAAAGTAAATATCGTCTCTCAGAGAATATTTTTACGTATTCACGGCCATGGAATGGGTGTAAAGGCTCGTCCTATTTAATTTATTTAATTTTGTGTAAATATTTAGGATGGGAAACGAGATTTTTAGTTTTTGTTCTTCCGTAAACTTTATCAAGGCTGTGATGAAGCAGAAATGGCAGCAGAGTACAGCATAAGGATATTCAAATTTCCTGTCTGCTTGCGCTACACTCAAAATTGTCCACAGATGACACTTTTCGTTATAGGAAAGTGCACTCAGATAAATGTGGAACATTAGGGTAAGAGCATTACAAAAGTAATTTTCTCCATTTTTACCGAAAGCCACATAAATTATAATCTTTCTATAATCTCTGTTATTTGTGGAAGAACTCCGAGTACATGTAGGCTAAATTAAAATAGTTTGTAAGAAATCTATGATTGGCTTTGTTAAATTACAAACGAACATGAGAGCACACTTAAAATTATGGCTTACAAATAGGTACTTGGAAACAGAAATACGTCATTGGTCACGTCCGTAAACTGTAACTTTCGCTTTTAATCTGAAGCCAAATGAATGACGGTTCTGTATTAATTCCTGAAGTTATAAATCGAGGCAATGACCTCTGAATGGGGTATTTGATATGACGCGAAACCGTAAGATAAATAATTATGATTTCTAATTGAAATGTTGAAGTTTGGAATTATCTTACCATAAAATATGATACGGCATTTATCCTTCTGTACCTCTGGTACAGAAAAAACGAAATTGCAAATGTGTATTTATTTTCAAACACTTTCATTGCTAACTGTTCTTAATTTTCGCTTATTATCTATTGTTCACAGAGCTGCGAACAGTGGGGATGCTCAAGTGCATGGGGGGGGGGGGTATAAATTGGTTTCCTTATTTTTCGTTAAACAACTCTGTATTGAAAATTTTTACAAAAAATATAAATTTTATATAGCACATTAATTTCTTTATAAATTTAATTAAGTTGGATTTGAACTGATTTATCGTACTTTTTAACGACGCTATCATTTGCTTCAAGTAAATTATTGCACTGGTAGAGAGTGAAACCGAATTCTCGAAACGTTTACTAGTGACAATCCATATGAAATTAAAAGAAAAAACCCCTTTAAGTGGTTTAAAATAAGAAACATCTTCAGGGCAGATGAACGAGGAGACTGGACCTGCCCATTATGTGTTCACTTTATGCAGTGGCTGCTAGTGACTCGTTAACGTTAATGATGAATCTCGCGGGATCGAGTTGAAGCCTCTAGAGGGTCTCAGACTTTCAAGATCCCTGGTGATTTAGTAATTGTCCACAAACATCGAATATATAACAGACGCGTTCGTCTGACTTCCGCTGCGATAAGTCACTGAGGATGTCAAGTTCTTAAGAGTTTAGGAATTGTCATTACCTGCAACCAAAGCCGGATGTGGGTTTTCGGCTGCTTCTCTGTTCTTCTTGTAGTGTGACAAGTACTGGACGTCATTTTTAACGCGGTCGTCATCATAGAGGTTCTTCCTCCTAGGAAAGGCACGTCCTCCTGCGAAGCTGACACACGCCAGGTGCCCCTTACCTGAAAGGTCGAAAGTTCACATGCTACCTCATGAAGGTTCACAGTTGCTGCCTGCTCCATTAATTCCACAACGAAGTTAGCTACTCGTAATTGCAGGGTAAAGTAAAGCTGTCCCACTATACGCCATGTAGGCAATAGATGGGAGTGAGTGGTCAGCATCACGCCCCGGCCGGCTTTACCCCCGGGAAAGGACCCCGGTACCCATTGGATAGGAGGCTGGGTGGGCCCCAGAGCCGGTCTCGACGCAGAGGCTAGAGGAGAAATCCTCTGCCCCCGTTGGGGATCGAATCCCGGTCGCCCAGTCCGTAGCCAGTCACTATACCGACTGAGCTTTGTCGGCTCCGTAATTGCAGGGTAATTATGAAATATAAGACGGAACATTGGGGACTATCTGTTCACGAACACGACAAAAAAATGTCTGTGTAAACAGGGATCCTAGGTGAAAGTTTTGAAAATAATGGAGTTTTTTTAACTAATTCACATTCCACGATGTACACTGATGTCACATATTCAAATTCAGATATTGCCATTACCAGAGTGTTCACTCGTCTCTGCCCTATTATGTACATGCCCCTTTTATACAACGAAGCAAAACAGCCTTTTACGTGTTAAAAGTAACTCCCTTTTCTCTAAAGTAATTTCACTAACGATGCGTTTGTTCAGACAACTCAGTTATTTCGTTAGGACACGAGAAAGCTGCCTTTACGAATGCCGTTAATGTGACTTACCCATGAGTCGCTTTGCGGGCTCATCGTAATGCGATATACTGAGTATCTCTTGTCTCACGTTGTGAGTCGGTCCCAACAGGCGACGGATGTAGGCGTCGGAGGTGATGCGTTCTGGTACAGGCGACTCCTGATACCTGCAGAGGAAGAATGCGGATTGTCAAACTGGACGGCATTGTACATTGTATAGTGTAACAGTTTAACGCTTCTGGGGGCGCCGTGAGCGTTGGCCACTCCTTGGCAATTGTCTGTGAACGGATTTGGACGAATTGTTCATTCACAGAATATTTAATTACGCTGATTTATCTGCAGTGGTCAAATGATACACGTAATAAGAATTTCAAGCAGGTAGCAGTGACCTGTGGCAAAGTACTTTTCTGGTATTTGTTTGTGGATAATGAGGAAAACCATGACACAGACACAATTAATTTTATATTTATTATTTTTTTTTAAAAAAGTAATATTAATATTATGAAATTTATTTTGAAAACAATTATGTGTAAAGCAATCAGAATTATGATTGTTATATGCAAATGAAATTCACTGAAAATAAGGTAATTGTAACAAATGAGTTATGTCAGACATTGGTCATCTGTAGACTCGGATGTTATTGAAGTTTCCTGTCACTGTATTACTAGTTGTTTTATACCTGGCGACACTGATGGGGAAGATCTTAGTAGCACGGGGCAATGGTTCGTGGATGCGTTTAAGTAGCGCCGCTGTCTGAGCCCGGATCGAACGTGTTTCGTCATCAAACGTCTGTAAGGAACACAATCGAGCGTAAGTCACGCCCAAGAAATGAAGCAGTTCATAAATACATTTTCTGAATAAAGCCAAGAACACAACAGCATTAATACGCAGGATTTATTGCTTGTTGTTAAAGAAACATGGGAGAAACACGTTTCCCCCCCAGTACGAATGCAAAATTATCATTTTCCTCGTTTCTGCGCGTCTTAGTGTCCTTACCACTGACATCAAAACATTGATTGTCTCGGGCTTCTGAGAACTTTCTTATTGTTGTCAGGTTAAAGTTCAGTATTTCCTGGTCACTGAATGAAAATAATAAACAAATTTATTTTACAAATAATAACCACGTATTTTAGTTTGAGATGACTATTTCCAAGGGATTCTGAAACAGTTTCCAACCACTGACTTGCATTAGTGTGGGGGGTAACGAAACACCCGCTGGAGAATGTGATAAACGTTTCCAGGCACCTGATCGTCTATCGACTGTGCCGGTCGAGCGAGACTCGTTACACCACAGCCTCGCACTTACCACTGCGGAGCGAGAGTTGAGGTAGTCCTCGGCGGGCTGATAGGCGAGCGACGGCCGGACCTTGTGGTTGATGCGGTCAATCTCGGCGAGGATGATTGAGGGTCTCAGCCTCACAGTGTGTGCCGGAGGGGACACGGTGGTCAGACGCTTGTGGGCGACGAACGGGATGGAGTGGTGGAAGGTCTGAGCCTGTGGGATCAGGGAGCACATCATGCCGCGTGCAAAGACACGTTTACGCCCGGGAGAATGCGTCTCTCGCCATACATTCGGCACCGCATCGTTCCGACGTAGACTGGACTGACCCGCAGAACATATTGGTAATCTACCACGTCGCGGATTGATTGAAGGTTACCGACATTTGAATACGCCGCGAAGAATTTTGATATTATTTACCTCTTGCCAGCGTTTCGGAGAAGTATACTCTATCTTCAGAATGGTTACTGGTACAAACCAGATCATCTACAGTCATGTCGCCAAGAAAATTTGGTTTTACACATTGTAATTATTAGTTTTTTTAAATTTAGTGATGGATTTAACATTGGAGTCCCGTGAATTGCTATATACTGTATGTGTACCGAGTAGACCGTACACGTTATAATCACTATAAAGCAATTATAAGAAGCGAATATCGACTTATTTGTTTTAATTCAAATGTCGGGCTTGCCGATTTTCAAAGTAAAATATAAAGTTGTCCCTGATACATAAGCGCCATTAGGCATAAAATACGGACTACATGCGATTATTTATCTATTGACACTGCCTTATTGCGGCGAAAATTGTTAGGTTGGTTCATATGTCTATAGTGATCCGTTAGGGACGCGAAGTATGACATTTCAAGTGTCTAAGAAAGTTTCGCGATAAATGAAAATTAAATTATTTAATGTTTAAATTTTAATTGCAATAGTGTAGTCTATTTCATACAACCAGCAATTCAAGAAACGTCAAATTTATCTCAATCTTGAGGCTTTAGATGTAATTTTTTTTTCTGATTTAATTTGCGTGTAATAAGAAATGAATTTGCTTTAGTGTATGCGTACAGTTTAAATAGACCGACCTGAAGAATTAAGATTGGATCACAATCGTTATGACAACCAGAATAAAAATTCTTAGTTGAAATTTACAAAATGATATTTCAGCTAAGAATCAATTTGATTTAGTTTTTCGTCTTTGCATTACGTACGATATGCCAAGGGGATGCGAACCCCGTTAATATCATGCATTTTAGTGGTCAGTGAGAGTTAGGGTTAATGAATTAGTGGACCACTCTTTGGTTTTAGTAAGATGCACACTCGATGAAGCATACCTTATTAGTAAAAAAGTTCTCTGATGTTCCAAGGCACAAAATTGCACTAAGCCTGTAAAATACACCAGGCTGACTCATGTAGTTTGTTCTAAATTGACATAAACTTTCAAAATTAACTAGGAAAAGAGTAAAGCTGTTGAAAAAGTTAACAATATTTTTACTTTATAAAAAAATACCTAGTCAAAACATATATTAATGGATTAACACGTACGATATAGCCACACTGTAGAGCAGAATTTTAATGCAGCCTTTAAGAAGCTTAGAGTAAGGAAAGCCATTGATAAGCATTGTTAAAAATATGCTTGCCCGTGTTTATACTCCATAAACACAGATTTAGTGTAGATTGGCATTAATTTTAAAAACTGTAAAATATTGTTGGTTAAAACATTACAAACAGAAATAATGATATAAAACTTTTTTATTTTGCCAAAGCAGTTTGTAAGTGCTGAGTTATTTACACCATCCAGTGTATACAATGCTTTTGAGGAATTAACACAATACATCGTTAGACACTAATAGCTTGTGAGCAGTGTTAAAAGCTGTAGACGTCTTCCAGCGATGCCAGCAAACAACCATTCCTGGAATCTCATAAACTTTGCCTCATTTATCAACAGTCTAAAACATTTAACTTTGTGCATACACATTGTACATTTCAGTGAGCCAGAATTATCTAAATGTCAACAATGACAAACCTACTCAGTTTTGCCTACTGGCCACCCACGGGCAACCGTGACTGTCTCAGAATGGACGGCCATTCGGCTACCCTGACTGAGGCTTTCTATGCTTTTACTCAGTTGTAACGCAAATTCCAAAGGGGCACGGTCCTCCTTCCCCATTCATGGAGACCTTCAGCTGAAGTGATCCCCCCCCCCTCCCCCGAGCCCCAAAGTTGCTTGTTGCTGATTGCTCTGGTGTGAATCCTGCCTTAAGCACGAATAAACTACAAATCAGTTGAAAACAAATTTTTGTTGTGTGGCGTCTCTGGATTAGCTGTTTTCCGATTCAGTGTCCCTTCTTCCAACACTTATTTTTAACAACTCCGTTTAGCTCCAACTGAAATAAGACCCTTTTTGTAATGGTCAGATGCTGCTAGTAAAATTCGTGTGTTTAAGCCATTGGAATCACTGTTATCGATTCAAGAATTAATCGAAATTCTAGAAGGTTTCATAACATAGCGGCAGGTCTTCTTGGGCGGAGGATAACAATGCCTGACACCAGAGAAAATTTCGACGAATAACTGAACGGGATTCGAACCCCCCCCAGCTTCAAAGTTGTTGCCAAAACCGGTTCACTCAGGAAGACTTCATGTAACTGCATTTTATTCTTCCCTGGAAATAATGTTCATTACTGAATTTTTAAAATGAAATTAGTTGGCAGAGGTATAGTTCGGACCAGTTGTGTCAACAGCGGAAATCCGAAACTTCAGCTTTTCTTTAAGTCGTAATTCGAAAGATCGTGGCCGTTAATAGTCAGGTTGTTAAAGACAGATTTAGGTCGGAGGTTTATATGTTTGGCAGCACAGATATAAATATTTGCAGAATCGGCCCTCCTTCAGTAGCAAACGTGTCGGAGTCTGGTCCGATTACGCAATGTGCTGTCGGTTGATGCAGGGCATTTTGCCAGTTTCCGTCCCGAATTATGAGAATGTTTATACATCGAGGAAGATTAGCATTTCAGTGCCAGACAGTTCTTATTGAGCAACAGCGCAAAAGAATGTTACGCTTTGGACGAAATTAAACATTATTTCTTTTGCGAGACTGGCATTATCTTATCTCGGCAGTGCCACCTACTAAAAACTTCGAAAGATATAATAATTTGTCACTTTATTTTTTGTCAGAGTATTCTTTCTAGTGATTCTTCTAGGTACTTCATTGATTGACTGACTTTCTGACAAGCCTAACTGAACCTCGTATAAATTAAACAATTATAATACATTATAAACATGCAAAATATGTTTAAAAAATGATAATATTAAACAGCCTCAGATACATAATGCCAGACCATTAATACAGGAGCTAAGTTTGTAAGAATATGTAAACCTAGTTTAAAAAATTAAACTTTACGATTTTCAGATATCGAATTAATGTCACCACATTTAATAGGTGTCAGTGAACGTAAATGATATGAAAACATTTACAGATTCAATTCGGAATAATTAGATTACAGCAATTTATATTTTGTTAATGCTCGTACATACTAAAGGCGTATGAGCAGCTTTACTTCGACCTCGTAGAAAACTGTACGTAATATTCCGTCTCGGTTGAAACCATTCGTGACTGAAATTACTTTTACTCGTCATTCTGTCTATTTCAGCGACTTTTTATTCAAAACACTTGCAGCTGAAACGTTTATTTTAAATATTTTTTTAAACGACGTGTACTTAAATGCAAAGAAAATAATGATTTCTGGATCTTTTCACTGTGATATCTCCTGTTTGATTAGGTTTGGAACAAAATATTTGTATCTGTAGGACTAATACATTAAAATAAACGTATTAGAAATCTCAAGGAACGCGTATTCAAAACAGATGTTTTTCAGAGTATAACACTTTTTCATTCTTGTTTAATGTAATGTACTTCTGCCTTTTTATGTGATGTCTCAAGGTAAGATCATTATCATTTTAATTTAGCGACATAAACATGTATTTTTATCTTTCACGCTCCGTGTGTTAATTGGTTTTCACGCGAGCTTGACGAGAAACGGAATCTGCTGTTGTCCTGTTCCTTGGATCTCCCACTGGCGGTTCAGTGGAGCTGAAACCAAGCAATCTACACACCTTGCACCTGTAAATCTTGTTTGGCGACCGCTGCATAAGCTTATTTTGTTTATTCTTTAAAGACGTTCAAACCCATCTGATATGTTAACTTGGGATTTCATGAGGAAAATCGCTACTAATGAAGTTATCCCAGATTGAATGTGTCTCCTTCTCATGGTCGGTGGCTACTCGGTAGAATCTCTTCAGATACATTTTGTTTACATCGTCGTGTTTTTTTTTCCCCCAGGAAGTTCTTAGGCTTTATGTAGTAACACAACAAGACCATTATCTGTAAGCGCCTTCATGTTCGTTTTCCTTAAACTTCGTGTGAACTCACCGGACGCCAAATGGTCTTCTCTGTCGACACAGTGAAGTTCCGGCCAACTAATTGAGGATAAAGTGTAACAAAGCTGATATGCTTGGCTGCCTGGAGCTGACTAACGATACGTTTCATCTGATCGGTTCTGTTGTGTTCCATTGTATGGAAGTAAGACTTTTAATTTTTTCGATTTGAAAGTGTTAGCCAGGGTAACACGGTTAACATGAACGACGCTCCGCCCCTGGAATGTGACATATTTTCCGGTTTAAGTCTTTGTAGGGCTAGATAGACGACAAGCCCTTATAAATGTCTTGTGACTTAAATTTGTTTTTGAATTCTTTCTTCTGTAACTAGCGAGAGGCTTTCTGGTCTACCTCAGAAGAAAGCGCCACGTGGCCACCGTAATCGGTTAGGCTTGGTATTGTCTTAATGAAAGAGAACATTGAATAATTTGATTAATGAAGCTCTACGTTAATCACATGGGACATTACACACACAGAGGTTTTTGCTCCAACCTACCTTCCCCATTCCGTGTAACCTCGGATGTCGGCTGCCCTGGACATCACAGCTCCGACGAAGATGTGGTCCAGCGGATGTCGAGTTGGAGGGGGAGGCGGATTCGGGGGTGGGGGAGATTGATCCACAGATGGACAAAAAACAGAGGACCGACAATTAGATTTTCTTTCTGGTTCAGGCTTCAAAAACGTTTGAGGACGGAACACAGCACAGATGTTGGCAAGGGAGGTATCTGATGACGTCATGCGAGAGATCGTACGTGTTTTGTTCTGTTACTTAAGAAAAATTTTATGTGTAATAAAAGAATATATCAGATGTTTAAATAATAAATTAAGCTGTGGTTCAGTGATGATTCTTCGAGCTTTTTCGTATTTTGCTCTTTTTTCGGTTAATGTAGAACGTGAATGTTGGCAGGCATGCCCTTATTCCAATGCAATTTTGGTGAGTGATTTCCCCCTCCCCCCCCCTTCAAACAGTGGCAATCTGACTGATCGACCATTTCGATTCGGGGGTTTAAATGGGATATTAAGGTTTATAATTTAGCTCAAGTGTTTTTTACTGCAATAAAGTCTAGCCATTCAAATACAATAAAAATAGTGTTAGTGTCTTTAATCTGTCTAAATGCTAAGAAACGTAACACTCCATTTAACTCTGTTGGTATAATGTTAAGTAAAATAAAATTCACTAGCCTGCATACCATTAAGAGACAGTTTTTCCTATTTATATCACACAGTGGCGAAGCAATTCCTGGACAAATTCTAAACGCGAACAATCAGAAGAAAATGGAAGTACTAATTACCGCATTTTGATTTACGCTCAGAGTCTGACTACATACAAACACAAATCGTGTTTTTTTGCGTGTAACCATCAGAGTGTGGGAGAACAAAATATTGTTGATTATTTGAAGTCTAGAGTTAATTTACTAATCACTTGTTTAAAACAAATTATGTCTCGACCATGTATCTTCTTAACTGTACTTCTATAGAAACTAGTATTTTCCTAGGCTACAACACAGTTTCTTAATTATCATATCACCGCAATCTTATGGAACGTTTCAGAGTTGAAGTCGATTATATGTTAAATATTTAGTCTTATATTGCGTTTAAAAATAAGTTTACGTTTCTAAAAAAACTGTGTTCTCGATCACAGGTGTTTCAATTTCTTTCGAGATGATTTTTAATTCAAGGGGATTGATATTTCCTCGTTCTGACACTGAATTTTGAATCGTGTTCAAATTCAAGACATGTTTTTCCCCTTTCAAAACCGCAAAATACACGTGTTCTAAAGCTTCGATCTGTTTATTGTTTCGAGGAAAACAATCTCTCAATGGGGTGTAGTGAATCTTACAAAGCACAGGTAATGTCTAGTGATAACATGGATATATGTCGGTGATTACACCCCAGAATATTCAAGGTGTATCGCCCCAAGCGACTTGGTATTCCATTAGATAAAACTCGTCTTATCAGTTGATTCCGTTTTGCAGAAGAATTGTACAAGCGGAGACAAGGCTGCAGTAATGCTCATTCGTTTCGGTGGTTATAGAATTTGATCGTGAGTGACGGCGGAAACAAGGCCTTAGTGAAGAAGTTCGGTGAATGACGTCACCACAACAGGATGCGTAGAATTTGGGAAAACTGTGGTTGGTGACGCGTATGAATGCGGAGTTTACGTGACCTAGGACCTTCAGTTGTACTTGAGGCTGATCTGTCTGGCGAAGTGTTCGTCGCGTTTGACGTATGTGTGTGCAAAATTGTGACATTTTGCAACGAGCTACACGGAGTTCTGTCTCAGACTTTGTAAAAGGGCTTCAGAAATGAGCAAGACGCTCACAACAATCCACGAAGTGATGATACGACAGATGGTTTGGTGTTGGCTGCGTTCTTCGGCACGGAAGAAATTGTTCGTTCTGAATTTTTCGTTTTTGCGAAGAAGTCTTGCAACGTTTGAGAGAGAGAGACTGGAGAAATGGCGGAACGGGCGGATGCTCCATCACGACAAAGCACTGCGTCGTCACACGTCACTCTACATCCGTCAGTTTTTGACGGGAAAAAGCATTCCCGTGTTACACAGCAACCGACCTGTCGAGGAGTGTCTCATGGCTATTATCCAGACAGAGGAGCGACGTAACGCGACAGAAGGCACAAAGTCTCGTCGCATGCGGGTAATTACAAAAGAAGACTCAGAATTTTCTCCAGCCGTGACAGGAGCGCCGTATGAAGTGTGTCTGTGTTACCGAAGGGCGAAAATGTTGAAGAGGATTAATGACGAAATAGGCATTAGATCATTCACCGAACTTTTCCTGTAACCCCCATAACGCGAATTACGTTCATGGCAAGATTTATAACGAGAACGACAGGTTTTGTCGTCCGTCTTCTTTGTTCCTGGATACATTTTAGAATTTACAAGTTTAAATTGTTTATTTACACAGAAATTAAGGTAAACTTGTGTAATTTCTGTTCCATATTTTCTTTCTGTGATTATAGTTCTATTTTGTGACACGTATTTACTGACAGACTTTGCATGTGCCAGTGGACAAGCTGTTTCGATTTACATCAATTTGATTGTAAATTCTGATGGATCATATTTAATTTAATATGCAAGAATATTGTATTGTCTTGAAACAAAAGAATTTCCCTTTGGCAAATGTCGATTTTGAGCCTACTTGCAACACTTGTTCAGAGCTTCTTTGTTTTTGGAGTTGCGAAGTCATTGATTCTTATAGCACGTATCAGAACTGTGGACTGTTACTTCATGCGATTTTCAGTTATTGAGTGTAAAGTTCTATCGAGATAATTTTTTATTTTTATTTTGTGTTGAATCTATTGGAATACCAGTGCAAAGTTCGTGTTTGGATGGCAAACATGCTACACGCGATATGAGAAATGGCGATAAGTTGTGCCGTGTGGGAGCCTGCCTGACGTGCTGGAGCTGTAGGAGGAATGGTAGGATCCCGGGTAATCGGAATTGCGGGAAGACCTCTCAGTGCTGTAAGAGTAGGACCCTGGGCCGGAACCTGTGGAGCGATTGACTCGTTCGCTGCTGCTAGAGTAGTTGCGAGTAGGGACAGACGAGTGCGGGTTCGAACTCGATGTCGACTCGCTCTTCTCGCTAGCGTACGAGTAGGAGTACTGCTCCTCTGCGCGTCGAGGTCTGTCTGGCGTGTCCGTCACCACGTAGTGTCGGGGCGTCTGCCGGCCAAACAAACACGTCACACTGTGCACCTTTATTTTAAGGATGTCACTTGATATCCGCATTGCCAAGGCATGAATGCGTCGCAAGATGATCTTCAGACACGGTCCAGAAATTTCACTGAGGTTTACTTCTGGAGGAGCACAGGGACAAGGCGGGTTTTCTGCTCTGATGATGTATTTCGTATCGACGTCTTTGACATCCGCCTCTTTCGTGTTCTTTATTGCCAACATTCTGATAACCCACAATGACGAAATAAAGCAGAAATACCACCTCGAATTTAGTGAAATATTTGTGTTATTTCTGTTTATTATAGCTCCCGGAAGTATCAGCATCATTTAATTATTTGGAAACAGTAAATGCCTACCGAAATTGTTAACTCCATTTGAAATGGACAATCCGCAGAGGACTTTGCCGACCTCTAACCCGAAATTGAAGCTGGCCCATATTTATATAAACTTTTTATATTGTTTTGCTGTATAGAACCCTATGTAATAAATGTGTTGTGTATTTGAAAATAATGCTTATCCACTGCTATGAAATAGTCATCCATTATATTCAAATTATTGAAGCATCTGGCCTAATGGATGATAAGGAAATGTTTGGCGGTCGTATGTCAGGAGATAGAAGCTACATACATGGCACAATTGACGTCTAATACATTAAGAATATGTTTCTCAATAATTTGTATATAACAGTTCAGAGAAAGAGGACATGGGATAATATTGCACTTCTGAAACGTTGTGCTATAACGTACAAGAAACTGGTTTACACAATCCGCAGTCTTATAACGACATACAAGTAGCAATTGAAAGGAAGGCTAGAAACATTTTATATTATGTTTGAGTCATCATTTGTATCTTCGGAAGTTAAATTCAAAATAAGTTTTGGTGAACATATCAAAACAAGTGGAAAGGGACGTCAGTAATATTGTAAATCAGTATGTATTTATAAGCGAATCCATGTGCTAAGGAACTGGTATTTTATATTGTTTAATTTTTCCAAACTTTCATCTTAGCTTATAGCCTCATACGTTTTTTTTTTCATCCTCTTCGATCAAAGTACATTCTCGAAACGTTAATAAATGTCAAACATTTTGCGATTAAAATGTTACAAATTTTAATAGTAAAAATTTTGAGAGGGTCTATTTTAAAATATTACATATCTCAAAATCAACCATAAAAGGATATCCTAACGTATTTCAGGGGGAATTCTTAAGTGGAATATTTACAACTGCCAAAACCTTAGTATTTTCTCGATACACACGCAGTCAATCATATTGGAAGTGCTTGAGTGTTTACAACGATCTCGTGGATATCTCGCTGCAAGGTTAATTTTGAAAAACATGAGCATTTTGGATTTTCTTTGAATTTTTTGTGGATGTCAGAGAATTTTAATAGCAACACATACTTTTAAAGATTCGATATCAGGATCTCCCGACATGACGTCACCGATCGTGTTGTAAATGGTACATCTTCCTTACCTTGCTTCCAATCGGCTAGAGGCAAAGTGGTCATGTATAATTGCAAATTACTTATCCTAAAACAGATTTTTTAATTCAATACTGTAATAATTATAATTCAATCTGCATGTACTTCACGATGTTGTTTATTGCGTTTGAAATGTGAGTAAATGCACATTAGTGTTAAGCAGTCTAAATAGTACGCAGTAATTGTTACAGAAATTAATAGGGATTGGTCTGCGCTCATATTCATATTTGTAACACACGATTTTAAAAGTTGGAAGCGTCTGAAGTTGTTAAGATGTAGGTTCCTCTACGAATTTCATGGTGAAAATTTCTTTATTGTCGGTGTCATGGAAAAAGTTATTAGCTGACAGTTTTATTCAAATATAGTTAAGAAGCACGCCATTAAAACTGAATCTGTCCGGATGCATGTGTAGAAGAAATCACTATACCTAATTTATTGGAATTTTTTTCTTCATATAAACAGATTCTGACATTTAATTATGCGCCGTTTAGATGCGAATGCCCGAACCTTCTACATTTGAGCTGGTGACTTCTACATGACACGACAATGTGGAAATATAATAAATGTTAAAATAATATTTTTTTACTACATTTTGTATTCAGATCAGTACGCCTTAAGCCCTTTTATAAAACATACAATTATAAATTTATATAAGGTACCATTCATATAATAATGTTCTGAGAAATATACATGTGAAGGAAAAAAGTGTGAATTATTAAATAATGCGTTGAATTTAAAGATTAAAGGTAATTATCATTTGCAGTGTGGGCATCTGGCATTGTTTCTGCATGTTAATTTTCATATGTGTACTGTATTACAACAGTCCAAAATAATCGATGTATTATTATAAACCATGTACATACATAATCCAACATTGTAACTGTAATGTTCAATTAGTGAAAAGTTGGTGTTTGAAACAAACATCACATATTAATTAGGCCTGTTTCCTATTAATAAATACTTCAATAAGGGAATAACAATTATTTAAAAAGCATTTATTCCTGAGCAATGGTGTAATATTCATGCCAGCATGTTAATATTTCTGGTTGTTTCACGAGTGGGGTGTAATATCGAGATTTGGAAATGAAGATTCTAATATTTATCGGTTTATATTTAATGAGTCTTACAAAGTATGGTGTTGGCGTTACACATATAGGAGAAAAATCAAGAATTTTGGCTCAGTCTTCGGTGACGACGAGTAAATCTTGTTCTGAAGAGGCGATATTTCTGGTTCTCGCGGTTATCATGTCTTAAATAAATAAGTAAGTAAATATTGAAATACTAAGTACCGTAAAATAGCTCAGGCGGCTATCCGCTTTGATTTCCACCGCGGAGACCTTGAGTCAGTTGTGCTAATTACCGTTCCTCCGTTGCTCAATGTTCGCCGATGACCAGTCCCTGAGGCGTGTCATAACCCCGACCAAGCAGCACTTATCATGTTCTTTTATACATCTTTAAAAAGAATATTGTTTCCTCGACTTCCCGTGAAACTAAACCAACCAGAAAGTGCAAATATGGGATACCTTTTTGTTTTAGTTCGTATTTGATTAGATGCTACATATGCGTTATCTCCGTGGTAGAAATGGCTGTTAATTGACACTCTAACCCCTAGTGGTTGAACTGCGAATGCGAACTGGGATAAACAAGCATGTTAACGCGGCATGTTAGTAATCTAATGTCCAAGTGCGTTCTAATATTGCCGCCAATCAGTGCTGGTCGGCGAGTTGAAGAGCACGCGGCGATGTGTCCTGGACGGGACTCGGGATAAGTTTGGCTTCCCGGTAAGTGACTGCTCCCGTGGGACTCTGCCGAAGGCCGTGAACACGGGGGGCACTTGGCTCGGCCGCGGGACAGTGGGATGTAGGTCCCAGTTTATCTCGCGCCTCTGCAAGCCCAGAAACACGGCAGCACTTTAGAATTTACTTAACAAGCAGACTTCGGGTGGCGGGGGAGGGCGACAAGCTTTGTGCAGACTTGAAATTCGACCCAGTTCTGGTAATCGGGGAAATGCCTGACAATGAAGTGAGTCCGCGCCTTCGTTTGCTGCCACTTAAAGTGACCAGTTCACGTGTTACAACCCTTTTTCGAATTGTCTCCCTCTCCAAACAAATGTGTTTGTTCCCAAAATATGATGCTTCGATACTCCATCATCACACACTAGTTGTTTTATGGAAGCACGAGTCTTGGCTTGTCGGAATAAACGGCATCAGAAGATTGTATGTCGAACTTCGTCATTTGCTAAAACTGCTGGCAGCTGGTATTAATTTATTTGAACAATAATTCTTTCAAAAACACTACCACTGCAGGTGGAACAAATTCTACTTTACGATATCATGGCTGAAGATAATACCGATTCTTCCATGTTGTTTCTGTTTTGTAAATTTAAAATGTAATTGTTTAAATTTACGTTTGGCAGATAATGGACAAATGTTTCGACTCTAATACTCTAATTCGTGAAGACTAAAGGTGAATGTAATCTGTAAGACATAAATCTCTACCACATTGCATTATTGTGAGACGCCGGATGTTTGGCAAAGGGAACTGGATCATGAACGCGCAGGCGCCATCTTGGGCTCAGACACTTCCTGCCAGCTCCGTCCCATTTTTATTTTTTAAAGTTTAGTTGTCAGATATTATAAAATAATGAGCCACGCAAACTAACTGCTCTCTGTCAGCAATATCTTGTAGGGTTTTGTTCCATTTATAGAATACTTAGGATTCTCAAGTGCACTTCAAAGTATAAACCCCTTTTCTTCCAGCCGCGTCCAGTACTTAGTCACTAGATCAGCTGTCTTGCTCTGGAGTGCTTTGAAAAGCCGGTGACTGAGTGTCTGTTGTCTTGTCACGTACCAGTTGAGGGGCTACGTGCATAAGAACAAAATAAATTGTTCTTCTAATAACCTTCGGAACCTTCTAAATATTGTAACCGTCTTTGGTATAAATGCGTTCTTAGACACTTTTTAAGTATTTTATTACGAAAAAAGTCTCATAATTAGTGCTTGTGGGTGTTGAGAAGTGTGATACGAAATTTATATTTCATGAACAGGTAACGTAAAACCTAAAAAGTGATGTTAAATAACATCCCTGAAGTTGTCTGGAGGTACTGGGAAAAACCACGATATGGTCGAGATTTTAATCTGGGTCATCCTGAATAAGAAGCAGTAGAGAAAGACCTCTCAACTGCGATGTTCAGTTTTGCCTAATTTAGAATGTGTCTGGAGAAACTATGTGAACGTTGCGGTGCGTTTGCATTTAAAGTTGGAAAAGGGCGAACTTTTTGTAATTTCTGTTTATTCTCTTTTAAATTCTTATAATGAGGAGCAGGAAAGCCAGGGAAGGCTAGAAGCTGTCTGGCAGAGTTGTCGAGAGAAGGGAGCAGGGTCAAAGCCCCTGATACTAAAATAAAAACGCATAGGACCTGTTAATATTTCTGTCCGGTTTTTGTGAAAGGTTGATTAACATAAGTGCATGTCGACTTTAAGACAGCTTTGGCTCTAATCCAGGAACGGTTGTCGTACTGACTTCATTGCAAGCGGGCAGTGAAGTCGAAGCGATCCTCTTCTGATGAATATTCAAAAATAAAATGTGCTTACAATGTCATGGTCCGAACTGCACAAAACGTGAGGAATGTTTTTGATCAGCTAAGCGACTGTTGAATTCTCAAGAAAGACTTTGCTCCACGACGTAAGTTAATTATACAGTCTTTGTCTTTGCAGTTGTTTCGTCGGGTAGTTTCGTACAAATTTGCCGACATTTCAGTGGTGCTTGCTGGACAGAAGAAAGTCATCTCCATGCTCGTCGCCGTGAGATCCCGAAATCTAACACCTACCTGTAGAATGTTTAAAACGAAGAATTTACCGCCTTGTAATTTAATATGTTTTATTTCTCCTTACTGAAGACGCGTTACCTCTGATTCTGTATTACAGAAATCGAATGGGAGTCGCAAATTTTATAAATTTAATCAGAAATAGCATTGGCCAGACTCCAGATACGAAGTAGTACAGAGAGTCGAACCATATGCAAGACTGTTGGAATAGAGACAAATACGCGAATGTGATAAATAGCCTTCTGTCCGTGGGACGTCAGACTGAACTTTGCAAGGAGCATTACGTAATTGTCGCTACGACGCCAGA